AGAACACATTTAATGTGTTTAACTCGCTTAGATAATTCGGAGAACTTACTTCTTTGTCAGTGAATTTACAAAAAGTGGAACCATTATAGTTCCACCACCCACACAACAAGGATAACACAGGTAGTACCATGGAGCAACGCTACGTCTAGTTCTGGAGAGGACGTGTAACGTACTTCGCCTTCTTTAGTGATCTTGAAGTGTAATTAGACGAGGAGTCGCGAAGTCTTCCAGTCGGTCGCGAGGACATCGGACCTCTGTGGGTCGTTCTTTAGGATGGTGTGTGTGATAAATAGTGTCACTACAGTAAGGACAGGACGTTAGTTTAGTCTACCGACTTGATATAAAGATTTGTTAGTGCTTCTCTTCTGTACGTACTGTACAGTGATGGAACGACTAGTACAAGACAGCCATATCTGCAGGTCCGTCCAGCGAGATAGAAGGTCGCAGAAAGAGTCTAGAACAAGAGGACGAGAGAGACAAGACCACTGCAGTAGGTGTTAGAGGTTTCTTAAACTTCTTCGTCTTTAGTAGTACGTCCTTTGTACGTGGGAGAATCCCCATTTGCGGTGTTGTATAAGTCTTCGTCTGACCATTAGTTCTTACGGTCATTAAAAACCTGGAAAAGTCATGGAAATTCTGAATGCTAATTCCAGGCCCTGGAAAAGTTATGGAAAACAATATTTTTCCCAAAGTTTTGGAAAAGTCATGGAAATGTGAAGTTGCATCAAAATATAATTTATATTTTATCTAATCGCCGAAATAGTAATACTATAATGATAATACATACGGTATAGTAATGAAACGTAAAATGGCGAGGTATTTTGCTGGTGAGAGATTTGAGTTGCTTTAGCGTGTAGAAGTTAGTAAGCCTATTTGATTTGTTTTAGATAGGCACAACCTGTTTCATATGCAGACCTTATTTTCCTGTTCGATGTTAAAATAAACAATTTTCAGTAGTACCGCTGAGAAAGAGTAATGTTTTTGGTCATGGGAAATGAGGTAAAGGTCATGGAGAAGTCATTGGTGAAAAAGTGTATGAACCCTGTGGTGTTCATATCTTAACAAATGTTATGGTATTTTATTTTTGGTTGTGATTGGGCCATAAGAATTGTAATTGTCACCCCATTAAAAGCTCTCTTTCCTATCAGGAGGAGTACGACAAGTATGGGATCAGAATCCGTGTGAAGTTCCACAGCAGCACTCAGCTCCACGAGCTGACGGCGTACCATCAGAGCGGAGGAGAGCGCAGCGTCTCCACCATGCTGTACCTCATGGCCCTGCAGGAGCTCAACCGCTGCCCCTTCAGGGTGGTGGACGAGATCAACCAGGTAGCGCTCTCTCACACACACACACACACACACACACACACACACACACACACACACACACACACACACACACACAGCTTTTATTTTTCGGAATATCAAAATATAAATATCATACTTAATGTAACTTCTTTGTGAGCCTTATTCTCACAATATAGGATGGACACTTCATATTTTGGCTGAAAAAATTGCACATTTTTGCCTGATATATTGACAACCCAATAAAGGATAAGACAGTACTTTATTGATGCAATTCTTGTGTTGCAGCAGCATAAAAACACATGGCAGGGTACAAATTCAAAGGCTAGAAATAAACAAGAAAGTAGAAAATATACATGTTGAATTTAACAAGGTATTATAGATATATAAATATATGACAGATATAGAATAGTAGTTTTCAGGGACCTGTAGTTTTATACTGCACTTCAACATATTTTGGCCAAATCAACCCAAACTAAAACCTTAAGGATTCAACCCTTAATTAGGTAATACAGTTGGACATTTTCAGATGATAAAACATCCATTATATGCAGACGCAATCATGTATATTATGCTCTTTACTTTTTCTACATAAACACAGACATGGAATTGTATGTAATGTATTACTTTAAAAAATAGTTTGCAAGCCTACAAACATTTAAAGCCACGATTATTTGCCACCTGCTTGAGTATTTGGATGTGATTGAGACTATTTATCTTTGTTGTGTAGGGAATGGATCCTGTAAATGAGAGAAGAGTCTTTGACATTGTGGTCCGCACGGCCTGCAAAGAGACGACATCGCAGTACTTTTTCATTACACCCAAAGTGAGTATTTGTACCTTCTAAACAAAGGCATGTGTCCAAGTAGTCTTTTCCTGGCAGAAAAGGGCCCCCCCACCCTTCATCCCAGCACTTTAATATGACTGTTTGTATGCTTGTGGAATTATGATGATAGAGACAAGCTAGAGTTCCCCCCAACTCTACATAACCGTCTACTCTCTTTCAGCACATGGAGTGATTTGGTTGACTGTCACTGTTATTATCATTGTCACCTTCAGCTGTTTTCAGCCCTTGTAAACTACTTGCACAGCACGAAACATTAAACAAAAATCGTTTGTAACTAGATGGCAGCTTGGAGCCAGATATTTCCTTCAGTAGTTGGGGACACAAATCCTTGGGTCTTTAAGTTTTAAGACAGTAATTATTGGACTTACACTCTTCAAAATGCCCTAAATCAGGGGTCTCCAACCTTTCTTCATCTGAGTGGCCAAGAGCTACATCACATCGCTTACATTAAATTCACATAGCACTCATCAATTGAATCAAGCTACTTTTGTTACCGTGTGAAATTGCAATACCCAAAGCTTATCAATTTCTTTACTTCACATCAAGGTCCAAGAAAACGACAATTTCTCACATATTATTATGGCCCACACAGTAAGTACATCACTGAAAATTCAGATAAATATCCAAGAACAAAAGACAATTTTTTCACTTCTTAGTATGGCCCACATAGTAAATACATCACCTTAATCACCACCTTACAAGCATCTTATGGCACATGTGTAAAATAAGTGGCATTCACTCTTTTTCACAGTTAGTGAGATGACTGGCACTGCATGGAGTCCACCAGAGGTGTATGCTGGAGTGTCCACTTAGGTTCACTCTAAGAGTCATTTAAATGTCCATCAGTCAGTCTTGTTCTGCATTTAGATTTCATGACATTCATGTCAGAAAAAGCTCCTTCACAAAGGTATGTAGAGCCAAATAAAGCAGACATGTTCAGTGCTGCTTGGTGAATGTTCTTATAGTTTTCTGGGTCTACAAGGCTCCAGAAATGTTGTGAGTTTTGCTGAGACTTAAGCTGAGCATGATTTTGGAGATTTATAATCTCCATCTCCACAGGATTGACACTGAACAGTTCAGCCATCTTCTTCTTGTTCCTCATCTTGACATGAAATTATAAACCATAATAAATCAATTGCATAGGTCTAGCCTCCCTATATCTGTGTGAAATTGTTCCATCCTCAAAAACAAAAAACTAATGCTTCTGCAGTCTAACTGCAGCTTCTAGCAACATTCTTCTGTTAAAAAAAGGACACTGAAGGTCCTGAATGTGGCATCACAAACAAGATTTGAGTCTGAACACAGCAGACAACAGGAGCATTTACAACAGCATATAAAAACCTAAATAGTGCATGTGGGTGCACATTTACATTCTGTTCTTACTGTTACATAAATCCCATGAATGTATGAGATTAAGTTAGCTTTATCATCTCAATCAGTGATTAAGTGAATAATAAAGTTTCTATCGGGTTACTCTCAGCCTGTCACTCATTATTTTCAGGGGGGGTGGGGTTTGGAGGAACAGAGGAGACGGTGATCGCGGAAGCTTTTTTCCTCCTGCCTTCACAAACTTTACACAAGTATTTATCAACTGAAAATAGCAAGAAGACATTCATACTCTGCAATCCAAGACTAGATTAAATCCTCCAAAAACCTGACCTGGTGCTAACGCGAGCAGTTTTTAAAACATAAATGTGTGTCTGAGCGAAACGGAGTGATTCAGGTGCATTTATTGTAGTCGGATTTTTTCTACACAGTCTGTGAACGGCGAGCGGCAAGCTACTGAAAAGCTGCCCGCGAGCTACCGGTAGCTCGCGATCGAGGTGTTGGAGACTCCTGCCCTAAGCACTTCTCAAAATAAATGCTCACGTTGTTCTGTATCTACTTCATGTGTCAATAGACAGCTGTTTACTGCCTCCAAGTGGTAGACTAGGCGATTGCAATTTGAATATGATTTGTGTGAATCTCTGGCTGTATTGTAATTGGCTGTATTGTATGACCGACGTGGGCTGTGCTTTTCCTTTTTCCTGAACGTTTGCTTTGCTGTTTTTTTCCCAGCTGTTGCCGAATCTTCAGTACGCTGATGAGATGACCGTCCTTTGTGTCCATAACGGCAGCCAAATGCTTCCTCCCAACCTATGGGACGAGAAGGCCTTCATCAGGCGCGCTCTCAGACGACAAGCTAAGCCATGAATCCATCCCCGGACGTGACCTACATGATTACAACTGTTTCCTGTTCAATGAGTTCCAAATATACAGCTGAAAAAATAAATAGGTTAATCATTTATTGAAGTATATTAAGGTTTAATTGTTTTGTGGAACGTTAGATATTGTTGTCAAGGAGTCAATTGCACATTTTCTTTTCTCAATATACCTCCGTTTAATCCATTCCTCAAGAGTTGACATGGGAGTTTTGTATATTTGTATAAAATATTCAGCTGTTTCAGGCTTTTTGTTTATGTTTGAATAAATTAAGAATGTTCTTTAAATGTTGAAGGTAAAATAAAAGATGCACGTTTTTGCCACATTATCAGTGTGAAGGCTTACATTTGTTCACATAGTTAACTTTTAAGTATTCAGTTTTCAATGTTGGGTATTGCGACAGAGACACAGAACAAGTTCACTTTAAAGAACTGCCTTTATTTACGTGTGTTTCATGTTGGAAGCAGATAAGAGATAATAGTACAGGAAGCTTAAAGGTAAATAGAAGCTGCCGTCACTGTCCCTGTTGCAGCCCTTGTTTGAATAAGCCTGTGGAGGAAAAGACAGGGCACTGTTGGTATTTGGAACACACCTGGCTTTACACAAAGCCAGATTCCTCCCAGAATTGCTGGGATTTGGTTGGATTAAGATTTTCTTTGTATGGCAATATAAGTGAAGTTCAGCTGACCTTCACTTAATGCTGTAAATGGAGCGCCTTTGTGGATCGACCCACACTCTGATTTCTTCCCCTTGTTCCTTCTCCAGCATGTCCTTCTTTGAGTGTTCCTGCTTCCTGTAAATTGACATTTAAAATAAATGGTAACACTTAATTTAGAAAGTCCACCTTTTCAACAGTTGAAATGCCACTGCCAACAGAGGGAAGTTCTACTGCCACAAACTTAAATTCACAAACACCCACCTCTGGTACTCAGAAACAGTCTCTTTCTGGTATAGCATCCGGTTCTTTCCCCAGAAGAAGTCCTTGTGGTGATCGTAAACTGACCTTAGATGGAAGTCAAGACTGTCCTTTGGAGCCTGAGGTAAATGAAAATTGAGTTTTGCATTCAAAGGATTTTTTGAATTATTTTGTTTCATAATTGTGGGTCACAATCATGCATAATCCTGGAGGTTACCTTAGGCTCATAATGCATAACGCTCTGTCGGTAGCTGGCACAAGTGGCACTATCATAGAGGCGACTCCAGGGCTCCTCGGTTTGGGCGATGTGAGTCGGTTTATCATATGCTTTTCTCTGCAGTGGGAAAGAACAAAAAAAAGGAACTTCAAATGTACAAATACATTCTATCTATTTTTGATGAGTATTCTCTAGGTTCATATTCAGGTCATGGACAGTGTATTAACTATTTGGGATGGATTATACTAGGGAACACTTACTCTGTAGCCTATAGAAAAATTATGTTTTTTTATATTTAAATAGCTGTTTGAATGCTGCTATCTGATTTACCAAGGTTTGATTATCAACTGGACCAGGTCCCATGTAATATTACAGCAGGGTTAATATGAGGTCATTTGCATGTGTTGCTATGCAATATAACAAGGGTGTGTGGGACTAGTTTTCTAAAGAATACACGAAAAGCTCACCAGACAAAATATGAGTTTCAGGTTCTAGGATAACCTACCTGATGTGAGCTGGAGCCGCTGGTGGTGAAGCCGTGTGTGGGGGGGAAAGGATTCCGGCCTGACATATTTAATAACGACAAACTCTCAAGACGAAAACACAATACTTCCCCCACATCTGTTGGTCTCTTTTCGTCTGAGCTAATCCTACAGGAATGTTTACAACCAGGTTTCTTAGCAACCACAAACTTCCGGTTGAAATTTTCAAAATAAAACGAGTGTTGACACATATTGCTTCCCACGTGTGGTCATGAGTCGATATTAAACCTTTATATATACAGTCTATGTATTAAACCAGAAATGTTTACCCAATGTTTATTTTTTATATATATAGTTTTCTATTGGCAATAGATACTTTTGTAAAAAATGTCAGGTTAATGAAAGCAGCACACACAGCCCATACTAGGTGATGCAAATACATGTAAAGCATTAGGCTACCTGACAATACTGAAGGAATAATAGATATTGAAAAAAATCTTTAAATGTTGTGGTTATAGTAAACCGAGTGTTTTTAGTAGAGAATTGTGTTCTTGTAGAAAGGGTGAACTATTTCCCCACATGTACGCTATAATTATGTATTTTTGTAAAAATGCCCACTTGCTACCTTGAAATAAAAAATTGTAAAGCCACCATCGCTAAAAAAAATCTAACCGTGCTAAATAGTTTTATTTAAAAAGTTTAATAGCTTACAGAAAACGACTTCAACAGTACAGAGGACTACAGAACACCCAGGTAATGCTAGCAGATTCTGCTAGCTAGCAGAAGGCAGGTAAAGTATCAGTCATACCCAGTTTCTCAACAGCCCGCAGAGCCAATCAGCTGCATGTATTTGTTCCCTGCTCAGAGGGAAGCCCCGCCCCCAGCCGCCGGGCGGCAGCACCTGAGGGCGGAGGTCATCCCTCCGCTGCTCCATCACTTCAGCACCGACACAGGCGACGATGCATCGAGGCCAGATCCACCTGCGCTACCTTTTAATATGGCTGCCTTTTGCTTATTGCACTACTACGGATTTGCCCATGTGCAAAGAGGTGAGGAGATTAACATTGTTTTATTATTAGCCATTTATATAAAATGATTACTAATGTGTAAATGCTATTCATATTCGTGAATCCAAAGTTAATATTATTAATTAATCTTAATTGTACATATCATAATTTGAGGTTCCATATGGTATACTTATAGGTGCAAATGTGAATAAAAAACAGAACCATATGCCACATGTAACAATTGTGAAAACGTAAAAAAAACGGTTAAAAACCAAGCATGTCTGATAATGAGGCCAGGTACATTCTTTTCTAAAGGGACAATTGACATTTGCATATCAACAGTGCAGTTTGATAATACTCAAAACATTACTTTTTTATCAGCATAATTCAAACATTATCACTAAGTGTGTTGAGTTAAGATATCAGAAAAGGCCAAAGTTATCACAAAAGGCAGGTGTAGTCTCGTCTTTTGAGTGTATTGGGTTTACAGGTGATGATTTGGAGGTGGAGGTCAGTTAGTTTCCATGCCAGTCCATTGACCATGAGGCACAGCTGCCATTATGTCCCATTGCCTTGGTTTCCTCATGTTTGTTTAAAGGAGGCGATTAGGCTGCAGCACATCCCAGGTTGGATGCATTTTTACATCAGTTCCCCCCCAAACACATGTTCATCTGATACCTTAACCAACGCTAAAGTAGCAGTTCTAATTTAAAACACAGAGGAGCTGCTGCTCCGGCTCTGTTTCTGTTAACTATTAATCCCACAAGGCTGTGTGTGAGATTAGCCTGACTTTCCTTGCACGAAATGCAGCCTGCTGTTGGCCAAAATGAACCAACTGTTTGGGAGGGTGTCAGATCAACAAGATAACCTTTAACACTATGCCACATCCCATTTATCATTGTTCATCATCTCGGGTGGGACAATGTTTGTCAGTCAGAATCTCCAAAATACATAAAAGCAAGACAAATAGAGCTATAGCTTCACACCTGAGCTCCTGCTGTCTCAAAAGTCCTGTGGCAACATTGAAAATGACATGTTTACAGAAGGACTGGGCCAATCAGCCTCTATCCCCCTTGGTTATAAGTAAATAAACCTTGAAGGTCATTTTACTGGTTTACGGTTGCAGTACATCCTTGAGGACTGAGGGTAAAACAACTGTTGAGACAGCCTCCTGGGCAAATATTAGCTGTGGCTTTTATTTGGAAAGAGGCTTGACTGGTTTTGAAAAATAAATTCCAGAGGTTTAAATTATTTGATGACTAGAACAGTATAAATCATCTATAACTATTTCAATTTTTAAGTAATTGTTATTGTTGTAATTTCTCATGCAAAATTAGCAGAACATTTAGTCCTCCTTCTTTTATATCATAATAAACTGAATATCTTTGGGTTGTGGACTGAAAAAAACAAGAGATGTCAAAGCATCAATTTGGACTTTAAGAAGTAGGGAATGGATCCTGTAAAAGAAATATTACAGATCAAATGTATGAAACTAACATGTGTTCTGTCCCTGCAGTCAGACTATCACTTTGAGTACACAGAGTGTGATGCGCTCCAGGCTCGATGGAGAGTGGCGGTTCCCAACAAAGCCGACATTTGCACAGGCCTCCCAAATCCAGTTAAAGGCACTCAGTGCAGTGAGTGTCCCACTCTTATACCTTTTTTAATGCACACCCTTAATCTGTATCACAATAATAATGTGTGAATATTAAATTGTTCCCACACTTTATCTTGTATCTGTTCCTTGACATGCTGTTGACATCTTTATGAAACACTTAGAGCGTGCTCTCTGCCCCTCCTCTGACAGCCTTCTCCTGTAGCGAGGGGGAGTTCCTTGACATGCAGTCACAGCAGTGTAAGAAGTGCGCTCCAGGCACCTTTTCTCTAGGCACCGGCGTGGCCTTTGATGAGTGGGACAGCCTGCCGTCTGGATTTGTAACCCACGGGGTGACCACAAACAGCGGGGATGCCAAAACAGACTGTTCCAAGTTAGTAAATGCCTCAATTGTATTTTCTAATTTTCAGATGTGGAAGAAGTATTCAGATATCGCACTATTAGTAAGGAGTAATACCAGACTGTAAAAAATACTCTGTTACAAGTTACAACTTTCATGCATTTAAAATATTGCTTAAGTAAGTATAGTAGAAAAATAAATAGGTTTAGGCTGTTTAACTGTAGGCTGTTTTTGATGCATTATTAAGTTGATTGCTTTAATGTGGCAGTAGGGCTTTAATACTGCTGTTAAGCTTGTGATTTCCTCCTGTGCGTAATTTGACTCATAACTTAAAATACCATTTATCAACATAATTTATTTGTTGAATATATTTTGTATTTTTATTCTGAAAAGTACCATGTATCTACATTTATCAAATAGATGGAGTGGACTAAAAGTAGCAGGAAATGAAAAAACGTTCAGTCTAAAGTCAACTTCAAGTGCCTCAAATTGTTTTTGTATACAGTACTTGAGTAATATAATAATAATAATAATAATAGATTTATTTTGTTAGCGCTTTTACAGGTGCTCAAAGACGCTTTACGGATATAGTGAAAAGAAAAGAACAACAAATAAATATACATAGTTAAAGTCAAATAATACAAAAACAATCACACATTAAAAGCCAGATTGAAGAGGTGAGTTTTTTGAAGGTGGTGAGGTCAGGGCAGTCTCTGATGGGTTCTGGGAGTGAGTTCCAGAGGGAGGGGGC